GAGTGTGTGCGAAAAGAGATAGCAATTTAAACGGCGGCGACTGTCTGTTGGAGCCGTTCATGATAGGAAGGCGGGGCGGGAGTTGGCGAGGGTGCAGAGGATTGCATGCTGTTAGGCAACTGTTGATCACGCTAGGTGTGAAGCTTGCTTGAAGTCGTTTTTATGTGCACAAGACTAGCTTCCTCGACCTTACTACTTTGGATAGACTCATCTCGCGCACACGGTATAACCGGCTCCATAGGAGCAAGTAAATGCGCATATATATATATATATATGTGCTCTGAGCTGAACTTAAATCTTTCCCAATTATATTCTCTGACTCTTATGCTTAATCTATTTGTGTTCAGACACTTGTAAGGTTGTTCTCCGAATGGGGTCAATTTTTGTCAATCGATTATATAACACAATCTCATCCAGTTTGACCTTGATTGTTTGTTAGCGCTATCTAGCTGTGCAGACTATACAAATCTTCAAGGCCAGGGCCTAGCGTTTGGCTTGTCGTAATGGCGTGCGTACGAGTGCAGTTACTGTCGTTATGAAGACTTCGTTGCACTAACTAACAAAAATATATCTACGCATCTATTATTGTTTAGTGATCGTGGCATTTTTACTATTCGTATTTGAGACCACTGTCATGTTATTCTGCAGAATAACATTTGCGAACGAGTTGTGTGCCACAGTAATGGCTAGCTATAAACAAGGTTATGGCGACTTAATGTTATCAGGGGTGGCGCCAAAGTCGCTTTGGCTGCGGATTTGCGTGAATTGCGTCAAGACCATATTTTCTATACTGTGTACTCAAGCAGGGACTACCTGTAGGTGTGCTATCATGATAACATTTCCCCAGCGTTGAGCTAGAGCAAAAGGGTCTTGCTAGTTCTACTTTTAGTAGCCCCTTTTATTGTGACCTGATTGGTGGCGGTTACAGCCTGTTGTAACCTCTGCCAATTGCTGTGTGGAATTCCACAGGAATACATTTTCCGGGATTTGCTATCAGAGACCGTGTCAGAATCGTCTTTGCACCGACGAATGTTGTTGTAGCTGTGCTATAGCACAAGAACAGGGACTCTGTGATTGTAAGGTTCATGACCACCGTTTCAATTGGGCATGAAAATTGTAACTGCAACCAGTGGCGTGAATACTAATCTGTTTCTTACGAGTTGTCACGTGGAGAGCAGATACGCTTAAAGGACTGTGGTAGGATCCCACAGCTGAGGACATTTAAAATGTCAGTAGCGTATACCTCTAAGGTTGAATATATCGTAGGGCAAAGGAAATAATGAGGCGCTTTGAATATTTTCTGTTGTCGGCAACACTGTTCTTTGCACATACTGTCTTCAAGCGAAAATTACTATACCCATTTGCTGTCGCAGCGTCCACTTAACATCGTGCGCTCCTTGTTCACGTAAAGAAGGCCATTCAACAAGTGGTCCCTCTCTGTGCTTACAGAGGAGCTTGACTTTGCGACTGTTGTGTGGACTGCCAACTTGTATGTCCAGCCCGCTAAGTAGCCTAACTGTATGCCACAAGGACCTAGCTGAACTCTTAAAGAGAACAGAAGAGTTCTAAGGCTCCATGACGTTCAGTATTATGAGCAATACGCATGGTGCTATGTACATTACTGTCCATACAACACAACTTACATTTGAGTGTTTAAGCAGCTGTTTCCCATAGCCTATATTATTAATGCATAGGATGGATGAGGCCAACAACCTATTGGCCATAAAGAGGGAAGGTAATACTTAAAATGTCTGGTCGGCGGACTGTTCTTTAGGACAAATATTCCCGTGTGATAGGAAATTTCCTTTACTCAGTGCTTTCCTTAGAATCTAATTCCCTTGAACTGCTGTATCTCCGGGAAAACTCTTTCGACAGACATGTGTTCAATCTTCACAGACTAGAATTGTCTATGTAAACGTGGTGTGATATAAGAAGGAACGAATTTGTTTCGCTGGTTACCATATGCCTTTCACTTTTAATCCTTAGCCGCAATAAGTTCCTCAATACACCTAAATAGACTAGACTTAAAACATATTAAATCGGCTAATTATACTGTGCACTTGCCTGCTAAATCTTTGTCCCTCTTGTCCTTGCCTTCTCCTTCAGCCGTACCCTGTTTGCAGCTTTTGTAACATTCTTAAATTGCAGAGCGAAGGCACATCTGGTCGCTACATAATGCTACTAGTCATGTCACATGTGACATTTGATCCGCATTTATATTCAGCAGGGTGCAGTTAAAAATTTGGTGGAAATATACTTTATAGAAAGTCATTGTCACTGCTTAGTCATACTACTATTTGCGTGAGCAACCGTGAATCTCTGTGGACTTGTTGACTTGTCCGTTTCCCTGCAGTATTGAATACAATACTCACCTTCGCAAGACAATGTATCATAAAAATATTTGAGTGCTGTGTAACAGTTGTGCGGCAGTAGCTAGTAGTAGT